CTTTTCACTCTTTCATGTTTACTATGTATGATTAATGGGAGGGCACATGGCTGTTGTCCTGCAGTACACTTGTAGTTGGCTTGGGGATGGCAGACTAGCACACAGAAAGGAGAGAAAGAAGATGAGTTTATAATCAAGTGCTACACTGTGGGTACAGGCTTTAAGTATAATAGCTCACAGAAAGGAGATCTATAAAGTCTGAAGCAATCTGAGAGCAAAAGGAAGGGTTTAAGATCAGCCTCAAGTTTCTATTAGTTCTTGTATTTCTTGTTTTCCTGGTATAACTGATATTCCCTCTAGTTTATTTTACCAACAAGGGAAAAGAAGAGCTACAACTTGCTAAAAATGCTGCTTATACAATGCTTTAAGGTACACAAAACATGTTTTTAGATAAATGACTTCATTGCTTCTTCTGGGCAAAATTCTATGTATTTTAGTTACTATTAAGATGCAGAGTATGGGCCTGGTGATGGGCTGGATGCATGTTGGGCCAAGACCAATTAAGTCTGAGATAATCAAGACTCAATTATTCACAAGGTAAAAGGATTTTTTTTTTGGCCATAGCAATTCTTAAACACCTTCTGCTGAGTGATAGAGAAGTTGAGATTTATGTTGTGGAAGAACTAACTATAACAATGAAATCACAGGTCACTGAAGTATTCAAGTATCCAGATAGCTAAAATACTGAGCAAATACTTTTTCTTCTTAAAATTTTTATTGATATTTTTCCTTGTACATAACCTTCTGTTTCCCTACCCATTTTAACAAAATCAGTGCAATAAAAAATCAACCTTAGGGGGCAGCTAGGTGATGCAGCGGATAGAGCATGGGCCCTGGAGTCAGGAGGACCTGAGTTCAAATCCAGTCTCAGACACATAACATGCACTAGCTGTGTGACCCTGGGAAAGTCACTTAACACCACTGCCTCGCCCCCCCCCCCAAAATCAACCTTATATGCAACATCATAAATCTATAGTTCATTCCAATTCTTTTTTGGGGGGGAGGGGTATGATAGAAGGGAGACATAGTTTCTCAATTATTCTCTTGGGCCAATGTCAGTTATTATAGTTACAGACTATCCCATTTCATTCCATCTTGCTCTTTTTATTTACAATGTTGTGATCATTATGTTTATTGTCTCGTCTCCAGCATTTTTGAAAGGTTTTCACTATACCCTGCCATCTCCTGAAGAAATCATCTAATATTTCTCTTCTTTTTCAAAGATACATTCCTAGGAAAACTCTTTACATTCATTAACTTCATTTCTTCTTCTACTTCTAACTTCTCAAACCTTTGTAAATTGCCTTCTGATTCCATTGAAATTCTTCCCTCTAAATTTGCCTTTATTGTCTAATCTGATGGCCTGTGCTCAGTCCTGGGACTTCTAAGGATTGATAGCATTTTATTTATTGATTATTCTTTGAGATTTTTGTCCATTCTTTCTTCCCCTTCTCTCTGGGTTTCTGTGAAAATCCCATTCTCTTGTTTCTCCTACCACATAAGAGCAAATATTTTGAAAAGTAGATATAACATATACATTTAAAGACACTGATACAGTACAAAGATAATTGAACTTGCAGTCAGAAGACCTCTATCAATTACAAGATATCTGACTACAGTTTCTTCATCTGCAAAAAGGGGAGACTATTACTTGCTTTGCCTACTCCATAAAATTGTTTTGATGGTCAAATGAGAAAATGTGTGAGGAAGTACCTTAATAACCATAAAGTGATATGTAAATATAAATAAATCATTTTATTATATCATTTGAATGTAATTCTAAATGAGTAGTATTTATAACAAAAGGCAAACACAAAGCAAAGCATCAAAACCTATTAAACAAAAAAATTGTTCTAGAATCCAAAATGGCCAAAATAAAAATACATGTGGTCACTGATTTATGAATAAACTGTGCTCCAGAAGTTCATTTTAAGTTGGCTGTGTGGTACTTGAGAATATCCCTGTATCCCACAATAAAATAAAACTTCAAAACTCATTTAATACATAATGTATATGGCAAGATAGTACTAATACCTTACACCACATTCCACAGTACATTGTAAATGGATTATATGACCTTAACATTAAAGATTATCATACTATAAAAAAATTCAAAGAGTAGCAGATATTATTAATTCTTTAATTGGATGTAATTGTTCCATACTTGATAACTCCAAACTAGATTTTGGATGTGATTAGTATAAAATGCCAAAGGTAATAAGATTAATGGTTTTCTACGTGAAATAATTTGGAAATACATTCAGCTGAATTGATGTTATCTGACTAATAATAAGTTTTATTTCATGTTTTAAATACATATATATTTCTTATTGGGTTTCTAAAATTTTTTCTCTTATGTTGTGAAATGTGGGAAATCATTGTACCAAAAATAGTTAAATAACTTTCTGAAAAATCTGGATGTGGTTAGATTATGAATTGAGTTTTTAAAAGAATGTGATTAAAAACAGATATTTGAAAACTATTAAATATTTAATGGGGCATATTTTGTTTTAAAACAGATAATAATAATAATACTTTTACTAAAATGAGTTTTCCCTTGAAAATGTTTGGCTATCACTTATAAAAATTGTGAAAATGCATAGGATGGTTTAAAGATATAACTCCAATACATCAGTGAGTCAGCTATCAGTTATTTGCTGTATGTTTGAAACCTCAGAATGTGGTTAGTTTTAATTTATAAGTAAAGGATAAATGAAATGTAATGGTTAGGGAAACATGAAAAATTAATAGTTTTCAAGCCCTAAGTTGTGATTAGTGAAATTTTGCTATTTGAGGTAAAAATTCTTGGGACTATAATTTACTATTGTTTTGAGTTTTGATTACAGGCATGGTTGTCTGACTTGAGAGGAAGCCAATAGTAGAAAATGGGATGTGCTGCAGTCTAAGAACTGTTAGAGGTGGATGTCTGACTCTGGTAAAAGTTGAGGGGATGACCTTGGCATGGCCTAAGGTAGGAGCTACTTGACTCAGTTTCCCCATTGTGTGATTTCCTTTCTGAACAGGAAATTTCCCCACCTGGATAATCCTGGGCCTTGCTTTTGATCTGTAATGTGTCTTATATAGTTCTGATTATGAATATATGAAAAACTTTATAAATTTGGTTTATAGATAACTGGTCTAGTGGGCTGCCCACTCCTCCCACGGATCAAAAGGGGAAAATTGAGGGAACTGAGAGAATTAAGACAAGAAGTGATTAATTGTGGGAATTAAACACTGAACCACAACTAAATGAACCACACTGACTCCATCTTGTGACTCAAGTCTGGAGCTAGCTTAGTTCCCTTTCTATTCAATTATGGGTCTAGTCCAAATTCTGTCTTGTAAAAAAACTTTTATTCAATTGTTGGCATTGGAAGAAAATCTTATTCTATTGTTTTAACCTAGCCCTGCATTCCTGGCAAACTGGAAGAACTCCATCTACTGTATAAAGACCCTGAACTAAGTACCTATGTTATGCTGATCAGAAACCCAATAAGATTCAAAGATTGATGCAAGGCATTTTCTCCCAACTTGGAAAGTCCTTATCTTTCCTCCAATTAGAAATCAGATTACCTAATGTTGTATTCATTGTTTTTTTTTAATTATTTGATCTTATTTGATTGCTTTTAATGTATAAATGTCTATATTCCTTTGTATTCAGGGTCTAACCCTGAATTTGTTAGGCAATTGGCATGTACTACTTAATAAACTGAAATGCTCGGAAGATCAAACCTTTGTTTTTTAGTCATTTCATCTTTCACTTGCCACACATACTTCTCAAAGCTATGGGTAGGAGATGTATTCTTAACTAAACAAGAGACAGAGGCAATCACTACCTGTCTGATCACTGCTTCTCGATCTCCTCTGAAAGACCATCATCCATATCACATCCCCTATTGGTACACTCAAATGCTCTCTTAGCCCTCTTCTCTCTATACTGTCCCTTGGTGACCAAATCAACTCCCATAGGTTGAATTATCATCTTTATGCATATACCTCCCAGATTTACATATTCTGCCCCTGTATCTTTCCTGAGCTCCAGTCCTGCATCAACAACTGCCTAGTGGACATTTCAAATTCACCATGTCCAAAATAAAATTAATTACCTTTCCTTCAATATCTACCCCTCTACCACACATCTCTATTCCTGCAGAGGGTACCATGATTCTTCCAGTTTTCTAGGTCTTGGCATTATCCTCAACCCACCACTTTCATTCATCCCAAATGTCCTATCAGTTATAAATCTTGACATTACTATATCGACAATATTTCTTGAATTCATCCCCTTCTCACTACTCACATAATTACCATCTTAGTTCAAGTTTCCCCACTGGCATCCCTATCTGAAGTCTTTTCCTACTTCAATTCATCCTCCATATAGCTCCCAAAATGATTATCCTTAAATAGGTTGTACTCAAATTCCAATGGTTCACTATTCCCTTCCTCAAACTTCAGTGCCTCTAGAATAAAATATAAACTTGTCTGTCTGGGTTATAAAATTCTTTACAACTTGGCTCCAGCCTGTTTTTCTAACCTTAACTTTCTATAACTGTCCTTCCCTTTGATCCTCATATATAGTACTCTATCTCATCTTCTCCATGTGGAGAATGTACTCTTTTTACCTGTGCCCACAGTATTGGTCATCTATTTCAAGACTCAGTTCAGCTTTTACAAGAAGAACATCTTTGATGTCCCAACTGCTCTTATCCTCCCCTCTTAACTTCTTTGAGTTTAATTACCCTGAGTTTATCTTTTATTCATTCTATATAGACTTATATATGTACATGTTGTCTCCCCTGAAAAGCGGTGAAATCCTTGAGTGAAAATACGGTTCCATTTTCCTGCCTCTGCATCCCCTAGGGCCTAGCTCAGTACTGGGAATATTATAAATTCTTGTTGACTGACTGATGAACTAGATCTAATGAAATCCCAGAATCAGATTAGATAATAATCATTAAAGTTAATATTAAAACAAGAAAGGAAATTCAAAGCATGCTTACCTGAGCAATAATTCGTTCTCCATTTTTATAGTTCTTCTCACCTATTACATCCACAATCTTCATTCTCTCTGAAATCTGCAATAGTCCACAATCCACTGGTTATTGGACAATTCAACTGAAAAACACTGTGAGCCTCTATCAAACATATAAAAGCATTAAAAGACCACCATCAACAAGTGATTTAGGGACAAAGAACAACACAGAATTTCAGAGCTGAAAAATACATTAGAGATAATCCAGTCCAACCTTCTTCATTTCATATATAAGGAATCTAAGGACTTTCCATTAGCTAAGCACCATGGAACTTATTCACAAAACTCATCCCACAGAAGTCACTGGCATAAGGGACAAGGGTTCTATTATCAAAAGAATTCTCTTATAAAGGTATTTTATCTTTATAACAGGGGGTCCCATGGCAAGGACTATGAGAAAAAAAATGTGATAGGACTCTAGTATATTACGATTCTTGTAGTCAATAATTCATTACTAATGTATGAGGTCAATTTCTCAGATAAATTTAGCTTTCTGCGTTTCTCTGTATATTTGTATTTGTGTTTCAAAGTTCCTACTCAGCTTTGGTATTTTGGTCAGAAAGAATAAAAAGTCCTCTATGCTATGAAAGGTCCATATTTCCCCCCAGATTTACAAGGATTATACTTAGGCTTTGCAGGGTGAGTTTTAAACCTCTATCTTTTGTCTTTGGAATATTATAAGATCTCTCCTTTTTATTGGAAGCTGCGAGGTCTCATATGATCCTGACTGTGGCTCCTTGGTAGTTTATTTGTTTCTGTATACTCACAATAATTTTTCTTTGATGTGGGAGCTCTGGATTTTTATGACACTTCTGGAACTTTCAAGAGGTTTATCAGTGGTTTCTATCCTTGCCCCTTGGTTCTAATAGATCTGGGAAGTTTTCACCTATGATTTTGTGAATAGTTTCCAGGCCTTTTTTTTTTTTTAAATAAAAGCATACTTTTCAGGGAGTCCAATGACTCAAAATTTTTTTTAATGTACTTTTTCCAATTACATGTAAAAACAATTTTAACCATTCATTTTTTTAAAATTCGAGTTTCAAATTCTCTCCTTACCTACTTCCTCTTCCTCCTCCATGAGAAGGCAGACAATTTGATATAGATTATACATATGCAGTCATGCAAAACATATATCCATATTAGTCATCTTGTGAAAGAAAACACAGACCACCTTCCCACCAAAACCCCTAAGAAAAATAAAGAAATTTTTAAAAGTATGCTTCAATTTCCATTCAGACTCCATTAGTTCTTTCTCTAGAGATGGATAACATTTTTCATCATGAGTCCTTTGGAATTGTCTTGGATCACTGTATTGCTGAAAATAGCTGTCATTCACAGTTTATCATCATACAATATTGCTGTTACTATGTACAATGTTCTTCTGGTTCTGTTCACTTCACTGTGCTTCAGTTCATATAAGTCTTTCCAGGTTTTTCTGAAATCAGACTTTGTCATTTCTTACAGCACAATAGTATTCCATTACAATCATATACCACAACTTGGTGTGCCATTCTCCAGTTGATGGGTATCCCCTCAATTTCCAATTCTTTGCCACCACTAAAAGAGCTCCTATAAATAGTTTTGTACCTATAGGTCCTTTTCCTTTTTCTCTGATCTCTTTGGGATAGCGACCTGATAGTGGTATTGCTGGATCAAGGGCTATACAGTTTTATAGCCCTTTGGGCATGGTTCCAAATAGCTCTCCAGAATGGTTGGATCAGTTCACAACTTTACCAACAATACACTAGTGTCCAAATTTTCCTACATCCCCTCCAACATTTCCTTTCCTGTCATATTAGCCAATCTGATATGTGTGAGGTAGTAGCTCCAAGTTGTTTTGATTTGCATTTCTCTAATCAATAGTGATTTAGAGCATTTTTTCATATGACTATATATAGTTTTGATTTCTTCATCTGGAAACTTCTACTTCCTCTCCTCCCCCACAATTCTAAACTTTCTGTAAGCTGACTTCCAGCCTCATTATTCAATTAAAACTGCTTCTCTGAAGTCATCAACAATCTCTTCATTGTGAGATCTAATGGCCATTTCTTAGTCCTTCTAGACCTCGCCCTCTTGATCTCTTGGCAACCTTTGACGCTGCTGACTACTGATAGACCTCTTTTCTTGGATATTCTTTCCTCTGTAGGTTTTCACAACACTTTTCTCCCTGGTTCTCTTCCTACTTGTTTGACAGCTCCTTCTCAGTTCTTTGCTGGAACTTCAACCAAGCCACATCCACTAATTATTACAACTCTTACACTGTTGTGGAACCTCAAAAGGCTTTTTTGTTCTGGGGCCTCTTTTCTTCTCCCTCTACAATGTCGTGACTGGTGATACTCTCACTTCCCACAATTCCCAGATCTATAGATCCAGCCCAAACTTCTCTCCACATTGCCAACTGCATTTTGAATATCTCAAACTTAATGTGTTCAAAACTAAACTTATTTATCCCACCAAGCCCTACTGTTTGTGCTGACTTTTCATTTACACTGTATATATCTTATATGTACAGAGTTGCTTGCATGTTTTCTTCTCCAATAAAATGTAAGCCTTCTGAGGGCAGGGATAGTGTTTTTGCCTTTATCTGAATCCCTAGCCCTTACCACAGTGCTTGGCACATAGTAAGCATTTAATAAATGCTTGACCAATATTACTTTTGGTTTCAGCTGACATCTACTCTCAGATAGAAAAAGAGTTTCCTCAGAGGCTTCTCCTCATTCCCAGGAATTAAAACATATCCACATAACCTTTACCAAGAATTTTGGTAGGTGAATGCTTCCTCAAATTGGCATTCTTTACATCCTCGAAGTGAAACAACAGTCTCTTTCTCAAAAACAGGACTTACCTCAAGGGATTTCAGTAGAGGCACAGATTCAATAAACGATTCAAACATTTTCCTCTTCTTTGCATTGTTTTTCAAAATGATTCTTCTGAACGTTATTCGATCCTACAAGAAAAATACAAAAATTCTAACCTTTACATGTGAACGTTAATGTCTATTGAGTTGCAAATAGTATCGAGTAAACTGAATGTTCACGAAAATGTCGCTTTAGTCATGGAACGATCCCTGGCAGAAATACTGACAGAAAAAGCCAAGATGTCTGGCATAGCTGAAAACCCGGAAAATCTGTCAGCTGACAGAGTCTAGAGTCTGCTGGAGTTCCGATACCCTCAATTACAATTCTATGAATTACTAGAGTAAAATAAGTAAAAAATAAAACATGAACAGAAACAAAATCAGTCAGCCCAAAACTTCTTTATCTAATGCTCTAACTGAAGACACTTCAAAAGAAGAGCTACCAGTTTCCATATAGGAAAGAAGTGACTTGGAGTAATAACCACTGTTCTCCCCATGTCCTCAATCTCCAGACACTAGGACATTAATGTTCACCTACAAAGAGTGATGCTAAGAGGCCAAGGGGTATACAAAGCTTCCTTGGAGGACTTACATATATACATGATACAAAAGCAACCTATTTAGAGACAGAATCTTAATAGACTACGGAAGGTTTTGTGGAAGAAGTAGGACTCAAACTGGGCTTTGAAGATAAATAAGATTCAGAGAGATAATAGGACAGGCAAAGAACAAGCAAAGGCACAGAATCAGGAATTTTCAAGTCATGTTTTGGTGAAGATGGTCTGTCTTGGTCAAATATTGAAAATGGAGGCATGCCTCTACAGAGGCTAAAGCTTGAGCCTTTTTTATATGTGACCTGTATACAGAATAGCCATTAAAGGGTTAATGATAAGATGTTTAATAAGAATTAAAAGTATGGGTTCTTAGATGATTATTTGTTCTACATTTCCCTCCTCCTAAAGCTGTGGGTAGAAACACTTCTGAAAATTAGAATGATACCTTCTAAAACTGGCATGAGCAATAAGGTCATGATAACCTGAGATTCAGCAGCCAGGTCAACCTTAGGCTTCTCCTAAATAGGATTCTGGAGAGGGAATTACACTATTTTTTCTGTTAGATAAGATATTAATTTAGGTTATAAAACAGTGTTTTAATGTGTGCAAAACACTTTCCTCACAATAACTGTGTAAGGTCGGCCAATTATTATTGTCCCCATTTTACAAATTAGGAGATTGAGGCTCTGAGATATTAAGTGACTTGTGTATAATGGCAGAGCTAGTGTAGTGTACCTGAGGTAGCAAGTGAAGCCAGGTCTCCTGACACTAAGTCCAGTGCTCTATCCATTATGCCAAGCTCCCTTTCCTACTTACTTTTCAGTGTATCTTTGAAATATTTATCCACAATGATTGCCATTTAAGGAGTTGCCTGCTTCATGGGCTAATGATAGCTAAGTATTGAGTACAAATTACAATAGAGGCTAAGGATTAAGGAATTTGCAATCCCTGCTTAACGTGAAAAGATGATTACAAAACACTTAAAAATCAGTCTTGTGTATATTTGGGAGATGTAATGAAAGATGGGGTCCTTCACAGAAAGATGAAGAATTTATATCTTTAAAATGATACATGAATAAAACAAAGTCAGAAATAGAAGAAAATGTGAAATACCTTACCAGAAAAACAACTGACCTGAAAAAAAGATCTAGGAGAGAGAATTTAAGAATTAGAGGACTACCTCAAAATTATCATCAAAGAATGAGCCTAGACATCATATTTCAAGAAATTACAGAACTGCCCCAATAATCGTAAATCCAGAGGGTAAAATAGAAATTGAAAGAATCCATTGATCACCTTCTGAAAGAGATCCCCAAATGAAAATTCCCAGGAATATTATAGCCAAATTCCATGGCTCTCAGGTCAAAGAGAAAATACTTCAAGCAGACAAAAAGAAATAATTCGAATATTGTGGAACCACAGTCAGGATCACACAAAATTAGCAGCTTCCATGTTAAAGAAGCAGGGGGCTTGAAATATGACATTCCAGAGGGCAAAGGGGCTAGGATTACAACGAAGAACCACCTACCCAGTAAAACTGAACATAATACTTCAGGGGGAAAAAATAGACATTTAATGAAATACAGGATTTTTAAGCATTCCTGATGGAAAGACCAGAGCTAAATGGAAAATTTGACATTCAAATATAAGACTCAAGAGAAGCATAAAAAGGTAAACATGAAAGAGTAATCATAAGGGTCTCAATAAAGTTAAACTGTTTACATTCCTATATAGGAAGCTAATGCATGCAACTTCTAAGAACTTCATCATTATTAGGGCAGTTAAAAGAAGTTTATGTAGACAGAGGGCATGGGGGTGAGTTGATCATGTTAGAATGATCTCTCAAAAAATGGAAGGGTGATGCACTGGAAGAAGGGGGAAGGGAGAGGTAGAACAGGGAAAATTTTCTCACATAAAAGAGATGTACAAGGAAGAGCTCTGATAGTGGAGGAGAAAGTAGGGATGGGTGGGTGTGGGGCAATGCTTGAACCTCACTGTCATCGGAAATGGTTCAAAGAGGGAAGACTAGATATACACAGTCAATTGTGTGTAGAAATGTAACTTACCCAGTAAGGAAACAGGAGGGGGAAAACGATAAATGAAAGGGGTAGGGACAGAATAAAAGGATGACAGATCAAGGAAGGCAGAACAGACTTTTGAGGAAGGACAGGATAAAAAGACAGGGAGAAAGATAAACAGAAGAAAAAGGGATGGAAGGAAATACACAGCTAGAAATCATAACTATGAATGTGAATTGCCTTCTCAGTGGGTGAGGAAAGGGTGGGAGGGAAGGAGAGAGAAAGAAATTTGGAACTCAAAATTTAAAAAGAAAAAAATGTTAAAAATAAAAAATAACTTAAAAAATTAAGTGGCACATGATTTTGTCACACCTTGCTTATGTATATTTTTCTTCCTGTCTCCAGTATACTTCTTATTCAAATCATAAAAGATGCCACTACCAAATTATTCTTCCTGAAAACACTTTATCACACCACTCCTCTGATGAAAAAGCCTTTATTATCATCTTCAATGCATACTGAATCAAGTCCAAACTTATAATGCCTAGCATTCAAATACTTCTATCATCTATACTAAATTATTCTACCTCTGCATTAGCTCTTTGGCTCCAGGAAAAAGAGTTAATCTACTGTGCTTCCTGAAAACCTTCCTGAAAGTTTCCTTCATATGGCATAATCTCTCTCCTCTTACTCTGTCTATCTAAACCCATCTTTCAATAGGCAACTCAAATCTTAGCTCTTTCCTAAAGCTTTTTTCCCTAACCAGGTCAGTCAGAAATGGTCTTTCCCTCCTGCAACAACTTGTTTGCACAATTAATTTATCAATTAATCTTAAATTTGCTTATGATAGAACTTTCTACTGCTGTCTAAAACTGTAGTAATAGCTTAATAAATATATTGACTAAATATCTTACTATATTATGCATAACATATACACAATATGTTACCATTGTTTAACTTTTCATGCATTACTATTTTCTCTGCCAAACTATTTTATAATTATATTTTAACAGGCATTTGTTTTGTCCTTTTTTTGTGTCCTTCAGAGTATACTACACATAGAGGTTTGAGGCATAGTTGTTGCTATTTCTTGAACACCGAGTCTACAACATGAAACACTTAAAATTTACCTTTACAGGGATGCCAATAAATGTTAATAAATAGATGTTAATGACATAGACAGATCTTTTACCTAAACCTATTTTATATTAGCATCTCAAATCCATAAGATTAAGTTACTTTATTAATTCACGTTTACAGATAATCTAAAGAACTCTGTGATTCGCAGCATCCTCAGTCCCCTTTTCTGCCATTCTGCCAGCATTACTGCAGAAGTAGTCGATATATCTTTTTCTTGGTTTTATTGGTTGCCCTGGGCAAAGAATTCATCTACTGGTACTCACAAAATGTTTAAAGGCCTAGAGGAAGGACTCCAGTGACCTGGGCAGATCCTTTAGAGAAGACTTAGGAGGTAAATAAGAACTGCATAGGATGAAAAAGTACTGATGAACTGCAATCTATAACACTAGAAAAAGTACAAATATTGATGAGACCCATTCAGGATCCATTCAAGAAATAGTACATTATCAGTGATCAACTCAAGAAGTAATACTCAGTTTAATGAAGTATAATAGATATTTCCCAGTATTTCTATGTTATTTCTAAAAAATTTTTAATCCATCCTGCTAATTTTATATCTGTACATTAACACTTCCTATCAGATTGAAAAAATAATGGCATAAAATGATACCATACCTCAGATTTTCAAGACTTGTGGATTTAGAAGACAGAGGACTAAAATGCAACTCACTTTATACATAGAATTAGAATTTCCATAAACAATAACATCTCCCAAACTCTAGTGACCTAAAAGCAATAGCAATAACTTTTAGTGATTTAGCTATGACACCAGATAGTAGTATCAATCTAGACAAAGGCTAGGCAGACTTAAACATTTAAAAACTTGATTTTATTTGACCATTTATGGGATTTTCACATGTCCCTTCTACCTTGTAGACCAAACTAATAATGAAGCACACATAGAAGATGATATTTCATCGCAAAAACACCAAGGATTTTTATTTAAAGGAAATAGAGTTGGTTACAGATCACGTGTCGTACTATCTTTTAGCCTAAGTTAGAACATGCCAGAGTAGTAGAGAGTCCATAGAAAATGGGAAGGAGTGGTATAGTTAAAAGTACCTCCAGAAGTATGGTCAACAATCAGTAACCATTAAAAAAATAAAAAACAACAAACTCAACAGAAGGGATTTTAATCCTAGCATCTTAAGTAAAATGTATAACTGGAAAGGTATCATATCCTGTGGGTATCAGTTTTTACTGCCATATAATCCCTATAGTCTACTTGTGTTGGGAGATGGATAGAATGAAGTGAAAGAATGTTTGTTCATGGTGAGGTATGCTGGGATCCTTGAAAATGCATGAGTTATCAGTAATTTCCCTGGAAGCTTATCGGATTAATGTTATTATCCTCTCTCTTCTTGTTCAACAAAAACATGAATAGGAAAAAAAGGCATATACTTCAGTAAACTAACAAAGTGAGGATTGGTAAATGCTTATTATGGTTTATAGCCAAACCATTTTGGGGAAGTAGGAGAATGCCCAAAAATATGATGCCCTCATGCCCTGGGGAACAAACGACCAACAATGATAAATGGTGACAGGAAAGAGGACAAAGACAGAAAACAGGAGGGATAGGAAACTATAGGATAAGACAGGTAAATGAAAGCATTTCCCTCTACTTACCAGACCCCACAATGAACCTTCTGTTGTGGCAACTATGGTAGCAGCTCTGGGAGTGTTGTACATCAAGGCGAGTTCTCCAAAACTGCCACGATTATCATATTGGCCAACACGTTTACTTTGACTATCTTTAGTTACCAGAATGTCATATGAGCCTCTGGAAGAACAAAGATGCCACACAGTCTATAAGATGAAATTATTTTCAATAAAAACCTATTTATGAATTCTTTTGTACAATGTACAGCTAGTATATGCTCTACATCCTGATTAGCAGATTTTAAAAGCTCTTGTTACTTTAGATGAACTAGGAACTATTCATCTCTTTCTATACTTTACACCATCCTCTGCCACTTTCTCTAAAGGACCATCCCTATCAGCAGCCCTTCTCTCTTTATCACCACCCACTTCTTTCTGTCTACTGGTTCCTTGATTGCTGCCCACAAACACGCCCAATTCTCTTAGCCTAAAAACAAAACACAACAAGAACCCTCACAAAAACCCCCCTTGCTTGCCAACTATCATCCTATACTTTATCTTACCTTTTTAACTAAACAAATGCAATAAGACCAATATAGACACTGATGACAACAAGAAAAAAATGATGTCGGAAATAAAAATGAGATATAGAAGCAAAAATGTATTATTTATTATTCTGTTCAAGATTAATATACACATAACTTGGAGCTTATGGTTATATTTATGATCACTTGTTTACTTAAAAGCTTTTTTTGGTTGATTGCTACTAAGTTTGGTATAATAAAATAATGAAATAAGTACTTCCAATACTTCAAGGAGCTCTAATTTCATTAATGTGGTAATTACATCTATTGTTGCAGAGTACAACCTTTCTATAATTTAGTAGATAATCTTTGAGATTGCCTATGGCCAAAAAAAAAAAATTATATTCTTGTGGCTAATACGACAATAAGCTTCCCTGAATTTACCGAGGCTGGTCCACAGATAAGACCCATAGCCACATTGTTGTGAGGTTCATAGCTTAAAGTTTTATTTACTAACTGTAACGTTGGGCAAGTCACAACACCTCTGAGTTTCAGTTCCTCATTTCCAAAGTGAATGGTCTAGACTAGATGGCCTAATATCTCTTCCAGCTTTAAAACTATCATCTTTTCCTTCGTGGGAGGGCCTGATGAGATTGTTTTTCTGGAATAACCTTTGAGCGCCCAGAGTCACTTTTCTATTCCCATGAGGAATTGGATACAGCTTTAGAAGAAATAAAACAGGAATCCTTATTTGAAATTTCCACACTTTGACCTAACTAAACTCTGAAAGCATTTTACAGTAAGTATTTCACACTGGATTTCCATAAGAAATAAAGAATAGAAAGATGGGAAGAATTATATAAACTGATACAGAGTGAAATAAGACGAACTAGGAGAATAATATATACAGGGACTATACTAATATAAATAAAAAAGAACTCTGAAATGAAACTAAACCGGGTAGGAAAGTAAGGAGTGGAAAAATTAAATTGGATACATAGGAGTAGATGACACAGATTATAAGTGGCCTAAAACAAGGAATTAGGGGTAGGAGAGAATACATATTCCTAACATTAGACATCTATGTTCTTGGAAGTATATCATGATGACAACAACCTTCCATGTTCCCTACCATAAAAGGTGCCATTGTTAGTGTTGTCAGGGACCAAATATCAGATTAAACAAACTATGGGTCTAAAAGCCAGGATACAGTAAGAAACCAATGCAGGTTCTAAAATGGAAGAGAGAGGTTCAATGAGGACTCTAGAAACTATAAACCTTTATCTTGCAAGTCAAACTGCTTCAATTTATAATGAAAGGTGGCAACAATCACCAATGACAACTTATTTAAGCATAACCTTCTAGAGAGAGGAGATATGGTTTTTGTAAGGAAAACTGTTTTTACTAATTCACTAAAGATTTCAAAGGGAATAAATTATACATGTAGATAAAGGGAAATCAGGCAAGTAAGACATTTAGGCTTTCAAACAGACTTGGACAATGATATGCACTAGATGTGTTTTGGTTTTTTTTTAAATTAAGTAACCACAGGATTGTTTTAATATAAACAAAGAACTCATTTAGAAACAGGGAAAAAAGAGAAAGAATAATCAGATACCTCTCTGGATAAAGTAGAAATAGTGGGACTCAGAGCAACATCTGGTTCCTGTGTTCACTGATGTGCTCAATGTTATTCTTTAATTTCCCATGTTTAGAAGTGTGGGTTCAGCATGCCAGACCCCTACTGTGTTTATATGTATATATGTATAATTGTAGCTATTTGCTTGGGCAATTTTTTACAGCACATAATCTGATAATATTTTACCATTCTCTCAATATTCTGGAGGCTACCACTGAACTTTAATATAAGCCTCAGTGGCTTATTTTTGAACATATTCTTTAATTTCATGTTTGACTTTGTTTTCCAAAAATCATAAATAATTTTGCTTTGGAAGATTTTTGCTAGACTTGAAACTTCTATGTTGAGTCTTCCAAATGACTACGTGTTTATCAATGGAGGAAATATGCCTTTGTCATGCAAACTACTCATGGTTTATTTTTCTAGCACAAAGACCCAAGTTACACAAGGATTAAATGGGTATTTACTTACAAAACCCATGACTTATTTGCAAAATGATAATTTCAAATTTAATTTCTTTAAATGTTAATTATCATTATCATCTAAAAGGATATAACATCTTTATAACATTTATTGAGTGTTCAGGTTTGTGGTAGGTACAGAGAATACAAGTATTAGGAATAGGGACCAGACTTGTGATTTCATCAATAAGAAAAACTCCTGAGGCTGCTAGGTGGCACAGTGGACAGAGCACCGGCCCTGAAGTCAGGAGGACCTGAGTTCAAATCTAGCCTCAGACCAAACCCTTGATACTTACTAGCTGTGTGACCACGGGCAAGTCACTTAACCCCAACTGCCTAAAAAAAAAAAAAAAAAGAAAAACTCCCAGATAAGGGAATTCTACCAATGTAGGTTGGTCCCTTCTCTGCAATTGATAGTCTCAGGGAGTTACCTAGGGCACTGTGAGGTTAAGTCACTTGCCCAGGGTCATACAGCCAGTATGTATCAGAGACTGGTCTTCAACTTGGGTTGCCCAGGCTTTAAGACGAGCTCTCTATCCTTACAGTCTTATTGAAACAAAACTATTCCTTGTGAAAGGATTAGAGAATAACAAAAAACATTAGATGGTTAAGTTCTCAGCTCTATGGGGAAAACTAAGGAAAAAGAAAGGGGAAAAAAACAAAGGAAAAAACTCAATGTGAGATGGACCACTCAGGGAGTTCTTATAGAGGAGGTATTAGAAAAAAAAAACAATTTGTGAGTTCTTAACTAAAAACTCTCTAGCACCCATTACTAGTTGGGAAAAATTACACAGTTAAAGAATGGGGAAAACTGTCTTAGAACATTAAGAGATTATAATTAAATTAATTAAAACATTCAAATGGAAATATACCTGAACAAAATGAAAAATCTCCTCTACTTGCTAGTTAATTACTGTTAACTGTTTGTGATGAATAACTCTATTTCCTAATTAGGTATGAGGTAATTATATTCCTATCTACTGTAGCCAAGTTACTTTAAGGATAAAATAGGATCCAAAATGTTTCAGCCTTAGGGGAGCTGAAGGCTTACAAATGTGACTGAATGGAAATATCTAAGAAATAAGAGGAAGTGGGAATGACAAGAGGAAGTGGGAAGATATTGATTTTTAAAAAGGCTTGAAATGAAAAGTGATGAACTGAATTAAAAGCAAGAGCTATAGCTACAGGGAATAATCAGAGGATAGATACTATCTCTGAAACATATTAGTTGTATTATGATAGGCAAATCAAAAACCTTTCTGAAACTCAATTTGTTTCTCTGTAAAAATGGTAAAAATAATGTATCCCTTCCACAGGGTTACAGGCAGGACTGAGAGTACATAAAATGTTTTGCAAAGCCAAAAGAACCACACAAATGTGAATTATTATCTCATTACTCTCTCATCTCCTTCAACATAGTTCATACAGAAATGGTCCTGGGACAAGTTGCTATCTAGCTGTAAGTCTTTATATTTCATGGATTCTTTTTTTTTTGGTCATTTTATGGACTATTACAGATAAAAATAAAAACTCTTTAAAGGTGAATAAAAGTATGTGGATATACATTTAACTTTCGTAGGATTGCTGAAAACATCCTTAGTAGAAATCTTGTAGCAAACATGACAACAGGGATGCTATATGTACCTTATCTTCTTTACCTCACATGACTTTGACTTCCCCTGCTCAAGATCTTTACTTTGAAAGCGTTTTGTTCCATGTACCTCAAAAATTGTTAGTATTTGATATGGTGACATTTATTTAAGATGTTAAGTTTTTGTGACTCAATGTTATGGCTACGTCAATGTTGAGGATATCCGATCTATGATAACAGTTCAGTTCCAATCAAATTTACTGGTTGAGTTCTATAAGATACTCTGAGATCTGTATATGTAGTACTATATTTGTCATCTGTTATACCATGGAAGATAAGAGAGCTTCTGACATATAATTTTAGACACCAGGTCATTTCTTGTTATTTGGCATGTGCTATATTTTACAACTTGTAAGTAATATGTCATGAAGGTTCTGCCATTCCTTATATACATTGATATATGATTGATCATTAAATTCAGGCTCCTTAAGGTTATGCCTTCTATAACTTTTGGTGGCAAAAGCCCCATTCTGAATTGCTATCATCAATTTCTAAAACAAATTCACAGAAAATTCAGTCATTTGTGAGATGCTTCTTTGTCAACATACAGTTGGCTGAGTGTATATTGATTTTGTCCATAGAAGGTAAATAAAAGTCAATTCTTAGATCTCAGCCATTTTATTATTATGTTATCTAGAAACAGTCCAAGGATGAGTCATCATCTCACTAATATTCATACAGATATACATATTCATATATATACACACATGTGTGTATAAGTGCATGTATACATATATATGTATAAGAATAAATTTTCTGTCAACCGTTCCCCAGGTGGGTAAAATGATTCATTTTAAAAAAATTAGAGAATTGGAAAGCAAGTTCCTCTTCTGTAGACTCACTGATAGGATCTTTGGATATCTCCAGTAACAGAGAGAATGAAAGGAATAACATGTACTTTCTCCT